TGGGATTCTGCTGAGTCAGTCATGTTTCTCTTTGGCCTCTTGGGATTCTGCTGAGTCAGTCATGTTTCTCTTTGGCCTCTTGGGATTCTGCTGAGCCAGTCATGTTTCTTGTATTGTCTCTATCCAAACATCACTAATGGGGATTTGTTTCTCTATATAAAGCTAATTGACTTATAAGACGTGTTTCTAGAAATTGTTTCAATTCTTGGTGCCTTTCTCGACAGTTTACATGTGGGAAATACAGAATCAGAGTACGCTGAGTAATTCCACGGGGTTCCGCGTTCAGTCTGATGATATCTTGCTCTCTTAGCACCTTGCACTTCTCTGTGTTTGAATTACAATGTGTCTGAAAGTGAAAAGGACCAACATACATGTACACGTACCAGCTGCCCGCAGTGAATGCATTATTATGCACTATTAAAAAGGGAAAATATATTTGAAAGAAATTTATACAAAAGCTTACATTATATCCTGGAAACTCTTATGTACTCTGGAGGAGGAACATGAATGAAATGTAGTCCTTTTCTTCAAAAAATTCTAATGAGAAAAATATACGTAAAGCTATCTTACTTTAATGCAAGAAAGAATAAAATCAACCCTGATGGGCCTTGAACCATGAATTTAATGGAAGAAGGAGGAAGATGTGATTCATTTTAAGCAAAAGAGCAAAAGCTCACCCGAGAATTTAAAATGAACTAGGTATGTAGAAGGTTCTGGTCTACCTTCCTTGGAGCCTATGGGTCCTCTCACGTAGGCATTATCAATCCAGCCAGTTGAGCTACCGAAACTCGCACGTGTGCCTCTAGTGCACAGCTGCCTACATATGCATTTAGTCTGTCAATAACTAACCAAATATTTCTTAAGTATCTGCTACCATATTGCCTGGCACAGAACTACACGATAGGAATTCAGCAAGAAAAGAGAAGAAATACTTGCTCTCAAGAAGAAAATACTCTGGTGAAGGACGCACCTAGCACAGGTACACCTAGCACAGTGTACAGTAAGTACACTGCAGAAAATGCTATAAATGAATATAAAAGATATAAGTGGGAGAGAATTAGCTAGTAAGTCAAAGGAGACTTTATACTACCATATAAATTAAGATGTTAAAATATAAAATAAGAATTTAGCTAGATTTTAAAAATCAAAGAAAGCATTCTAGATCAACATAAAAGTATACTACATATATGACAGTCCTGTTACAGAAAAGATCTTGATACCTTCAGGACAATCAATATCAAGAAATGATATGGCTGAGGTCAGCAGGGATCAGATCATGTGTAGCTTCTTCAACTATATTCAAAGATCTGTATTTTTATTTTTAATGAGTACAAAATGGTAAAAGAAAAAATATTAGAAATGATACAGAATTTCACCAAATGAAATAATAAGAATTGGACAATTTTTTT